AATTATAACGCAACAAGTCCAAATGCTCAATGCCTTTTGTTAGGCAGGGGAGGCGCGGGAGGAATCTCGGTCCCTCTGTAAATAATTACAGACCGTTCCGCCATGGGGTCGCATCCCCTAGACGGTTTGAGTGTTATGGCTGAATTCTGAGTCCATTCAGTGCTTATAATTTCATTTTGGTCGCAACGCGCTTACTTAGTTCTTTGAAATCATTTTTAGTATATAGAAATGCGAAAAAGTTGGTAAAATAGCTTACATGAGCAAGGTGCAAGTTTAACAACATATAAAACAAATCATTTCGAACCGCAAGATAATAATAGACTATTGATTCGAACAAACTTTGTTTGTCTGCAACTTCATTGATTTTTGTAACATATAGATATAATTTGAATCGAATAAATGAATACCTTAAACATAACATAACAGTTTTAAATAAGACTAAGTCGACCTCTTTTTTCTATGTTAATTTGAAATTTATAATCAAACGTGAATACTGTCTGAAGTTTACGCGAGTAGTACACATTTAAGTTAAACAATTTAACAGTTTAAAACGCGCAATATATTAGTTAATCTTGTTAACAAACTATTTTGATTAATGCAAAGCATCCGAAACTTAAAATAATCTGATAATAAGTTTAACTAATATTTTTCGCCATTTAAACCGTTTTTTTTTATTTAAATACAACCAAACGTTACAATTTTGATATAAAAATTAAATAGTTTTAACATTCCATTAAAATAATATCAATTTAATTAAATAAGTTATCTATACATAAATAATCCATATATACGTGTAATGAGTACCGAAGTTCTCACGATCTCTCGTTTGACATAGCACTGCGCCCTCTCCCTAACAACTGACAATTTTTACGAATCATTGTTACTTTTCCTCACCCTTCCGAAGGGCTAAAGTGTATATTAAACATATCGATTGGTTCGAAATATATTGGTGAACTAGCTAGCGCGTTATATGTAGAAGTATGACTTTATTGGCGGGCTCGTTGGTCTAATGGTAACAACTTTTGGCTAATAATCAACGTGTCGTGGGTTTAATCCCCACTGGGTGCAACATTTTTCTCATTTTCCAACATGATTTTTTTTTTCTGAAAAATGCTGGACTTAGTCTGGAAATCTGGATATTAAATGGGTATATATATTTTAGGAATATCGCAATTCCGTTCGGGTCACGAGCCACCGTCCACAGACGAAAAAACCGTGAAATTTAAATTACGGTTTCAGTCTGTGGATTTCCGAATTTCCAAAGCCAAAATAGGTCGACAGCCAATCTTGTGTATATATTGTATGGCTGGAGTATTTCACCTCCTATCAATTGAACACCCATACTTGTCTATTATTAAAATAGAACTGTCTAACAGTCTTTGCGTAAGATACGGACACACACACTTAATATTTATAACATACTTGTAATGTACGATTATAATAAACAACTAGCTGTGTCAGCTACTTCGTCCGCGAGAACCGTTATTTTGGGCATACAAATTCGTTTTTCCTTCATCTTTATAAACTTATGCTGTTACCCACGACGTCGGTGTCGTCTCTTTCCGTCGTTCTTGCAAGTTAATCTTAAAAGACAGGTATATAACATCGCGGACTTTTTTTTTTGATCATTTAAGTAAAGGGGATTCATTCTTTAGTGCTTATTATTTGAACCGTTCTTGCAGCGTACGAGTCGGAAACCCATAATGATAAATAATTTTTGCCCGTTTTTTTCACATTACCCGTTGTTTCTCCTAACTAATACTGACTAATAGGAGCAAAGTTATAAAGCCTTGCTTTCCTCGATAAATGCTCTACGCAACACAAAAATATTTTTTTCAATTCGAACCAGTAGTTCCTGAGATTAGCGCGTTCAAACAAACAAACAAACTGTACAGCTTGATATATTAGTATAGTTGAGCCTCAAAACTCATCAAATTCTACCATTGTACTAGTGAATAAAGTGTACATATAAGCGGATTCGATTTTCACGTAGCGAACAAGTAGAAAAATACGAGGATGTGGGTTAAATACTGATATATACCACAGTAAACATTTACGACGCAAGCGTTTGCCAAACGTGTTCTACCTTATTTGTTTTGACAGTTTTTCTGTTTGCTCCAGCTTAATCGGGTCATCTATTACCATATTTAATTACTAGCTTTTGCGCAAATATTGTTACAGTGCATATAATTCGTTGCCTCGTTATATTTCTGGAAATATTGATGTATTTTAATTTAAAAGTTTTATGTCGGAATTCAAACCCCGACCATGCGGTAGTTTATCTACCTCTGTCTTAATGTATTATGATCAATTCTGTCATAGTTGCTTTGCATTATAATGTACGAAAGGTTTGTCTGTTTATACATTTTAATCCGAAGTATGTTATTAATGAAATTAATTTTTTTATTTCAAACACTATGTATGTAATTAAAACATTATGTATTGCATATAATATTAAAGTTTCATTGTTTTTCCGTGTCTCCAAAGCCAAAATAGATCGACAGTGCATCTTTTTAGAGGTATATGGCTGGCTTATTTCACATACCATTGAGTGAACGCTATGTTTATCTGTCCACCTCTATATTGATTATAAATTGAAAAACATTACGACTTGCACAGGACTTGAACCGGCATCCACAGCGTTTCGTGATGTTGCTCTAACCAATTGCTCTATTCACCTAATATCTGAAAGATATTAAAGTTTTCAAGTCTATATTGTCCAAAAGTTCTAATCTCACGAATGACATTACAATTCATGGAGAACAGACTTAAACCTTGAATTATGCACAAGTTGGAGTTAATCGTGCGGCTACACCGAAGTGGACGCATTAGTGAATTATTAAAGCGAGTAATATCTTTGCCGGTGCCAGAGGAACTACAACAATATATTAACTATTATTTGCAATTCACACTTGGGAGCTGGGTATTGAGAAATTCGGATATTGACATTTGTAATACAAATTGGAATGGTACAATGCGTACACTTTTAACGGTTTAAAACGCGAAATATATTGGTATATTGAATTTTACTGCGACCCGAAATTTTGAATGCTTTGCAGTGGCGGGGGAAAAGACCCAACAAAACTTACGTGCTTAGGCGCCTTTTTTATTTCGCCTGTAAGACATGACAATAACTAAGTACCTACTGCATTTTATGCGAGTGGTAGACAATGAAGAAAAACTTTTAACGGTTTAAAACAGGAAATATATTGTTTAATGTATCTACGACCCGACGTAAATTTTCAGCAGCGAGTATATAAAGCTGTCCTCCTTTATCATTAAAAAAAAAGCTTCCAGATACCCAAAAAATGTGCATGAAAGAATATCTCGTCTTTAAATGATCTAAAAAATGTCCGTCCACAACACTATATGCCTATCTTGTAAGATGAACTTCCAAGACTGACCGGACGCGACCGACGTCGTGGGTAACAAATTTTAATGCTATAACTATTCTATGCGGACGATTTTTGCTGACACAGCTAGTATTTCATATATAACTATGCCAGGTCATGAAAAATAGCATGAGAGTATTCAGTGAACTTTGCCAGTCTCGCAGTGTACATCTAGACAAAAGTGATGGCAAAGTTTTAGCGTTACAATGGTCTCTTGACGCGGAGAAGTTGTGACGTCGCTCGTGCCGGGGGAAAAGACCCAGAACATTATGTGTTGAGGCGCCATTTTATATTTTGTCTCTGAAAAACGCCTTGTATATAAGGCTGCTAGAGGTAGAGTGGCCTAATAACAAAAAATAAAAATGCGCAATTAACTTAGGCGAAAATAAATTTGTGTAAGAATTACGTTAACTATTTTCGGTTACATGTAGAATAACACTTTTAGACTAATAAAATTGCAGTTAGGCTACTCTGCATCTAGCGGCCACATATATACATTTAAAAACCCATTATCGGGTTACATTATTTGTAACTACATCTCTTCGTCATTATATTTCTCGTTTTAAACCGTTAAAGTTTTTATTAATTGTGTACCACTAGTAAAAACCTTATTTAATTTTATTGTGTACAATGTGCCTCCGGTTATAATATATATATGAGAGGTTAAAAAATTAATTATTTAAACAGTATCATCACGGTACGTCGTCCGTTGCCTGTTTGAAATTTTAATGAAACAAGTAAAGTTTGAAACAAATACTCAATGTATTCTCACGGAACATAGAAGTAAGGAGCCCGAATGGATTTATAGATGTTTAGTTTTTTTCAAAGGGGAGACTCCGTCGTCCCTAAATGTTTAAACACTATGGGCAAATTATAGAAAAATTACATTGATATCTATATATATATATACTATTTGTTGTGTAAATAAAAAAAAAATCTGGTAATGAACATCATTTCTAGTTCTATAAACTGCTTCGACACTTTTCAAACGAAATGTCTTTTCACCGTAGTCCTAGAGTTCAACTGTCCGCATAAATATGTTTTCACAAACTGTCCCTTCCATAAAGGTAAGGGGTATTTTTCAGTCGAATGGGCGTGAATAACCCCGCGCTCGTAAATCCCTTCGATACTAACTAAATTTGGTTTTATACTCATTAACGAAAGCGCTAGGCAGTACGAACAGTTTAAATACCGCACTGCAGAGGAGAGATGATTATTTTTCACCTGTATCAAAGAAATGTGTAATTTGGGATAGACGTTGCTTTATCCTTAAGTTTAGACGAAAGATTGCCATGTTTATATGTACAGACATAATCAAGAGAACAGTTTTAATTGCTTTTAGGAAGAAAGCACTGATAAGACTTGTTGCTATTTGAATTTATTTATTACTTAAAACAATTTGAACGGTTTAAAATGCGTGAATTTGAGTTTAAATTAACTTTTACTCAATTTACACAGCTTACATTTACTTACACTCGTTCTTTTTAAATATATATTTCTCAAAATAGCCACTATTTTTTAATAATTTTCAGGAAAACCGCGGCCTTTAAATTTGCTTTAATTACTAATGTGTTTACGTTACATGTATTTCCTTAATCAGCTTTTTAGTTATGTGATCACGGAACTCCTGCAAAGCGACCTGCACAAGATCATCGTCTCGCCACAACATCTCTCCACCGACCACATCAAAGTCTTCCTCTACCAAATACTGAGAGGTAAGCTTTTTTGCTTATTTACCCATTCCGCCCGCCTTTCAACGCTATTCACTTTGATATCCGGTTTCTCTTTTTAGCCGTTTACACACTAGGCGTTTTTATACTACGTACTAAAACAGAGATAGGACTATCTACTGCCGCCAGCCGGATACACACTGCGCGTGTTTTTTAATACTATGTACATGATAGCTATATATACTTTTTGTGAGATATGGCTTAATGTTGGGTCTTTTATAACATAGTACAAATTAGTAAAATATAATAAAGCCGTTTCGGAGGAGTACGGTAACTAACACTGACAGGAGAATTTTATCGGCAAACGTTGTTTTGCCATATAAATAATTTTTCTAAAATGTCTATTAAAAAATAAGGGTTGATCGTAGAAGGGTGAAAATTGAGGATTATATTTATTTTTGTATGTTGTATCAAAAAAAAAAATAGAAATTAAAAATGTTGTCTAAAAAATAAAAAAAATGTAAGGGTGACCAACCATGATCACTTAGAGGGATGAAAAATAGATGTTATTCTAATTTTAGACCTACTGAATACACATTTCAAATTTGGTGTAAATCGGTCGAGCCGTTTCGGAGGAGTACGGTAACTAACACTGACAGAAGAATTTTATATATTAGATATAAAGCTGAAGAGTTTGTTTGTTTGAACGCGCTGACGTCGTGGGTAACAGCTTAAGTTAATAAAGAGGAAGGGGTTTGCAAAAACGTTTTTGATGCCCAAAATAACGATTCTCGCGGACGAAGTCGCTGACTCAGCTAGTTGTTAATAAGCTAATTAAATGCTAATTTACATGTCACGTTTTAAACCGTTAAAAGTGCTTAACTAAATCGCTACGTGTATTGCGAACCTTATTTGTTTATTAGACCTGTTTTAACTCTAAATAATTTTTAGCGTTCAGTTTATACTCCCAATCTTAATCTAATCTTAAATATTGAATGTTAGAAAAATCAAAAGGATTTAGACGTGGATATATTCAGTTGAGGTCAGTGACCTCGTAAACATATTTCAGATAGCGTTAGTAGATTGGTGGTTATTACGTGCTTTTAATGGTCCAATTAATGTTTGTGCGTCGGTTTAATGTCATAACCATATAAACACTTCCACTACAGCGTATAGTACCTACGTCCGTCACGTATTTGGGACAGGCTCAAAAGGGCCATTATAGGATATAATCGTCATCTACATCGACATCAGCTGACAATCGTTCCCACTTGTCTGTATTATAAAGCAAAAGAGTTTCTTTGTCTGTTTGAACGCGCTAATCTCAGAAACTACTTGTTCGAATTCTTTTTGTGCGCGCTAATTTTGTGAGTTTTGTGAAAACAAATTTCAATGCCCAAAATAACTATTCTACACTGACAGTGTCGCGGGCCCAGCTAGTGGATTATAAGTGTACAACTTGATCTACGTAATTCATGAAGGTAGATAACACAAGTCATCACGATGTTTTACTTTAGCGTAGAGCAGATGTGAGAAAAATAATTTGGTGCACTATTGGAGATCGTACTCCCGTCGAAACTTGATTAATTCAAGAGCAAACACCACTAGATCAAAATTGCCCTGCTTTGTTATATAACAAAGGTCTTTAAAATAATTGATGGGCGTGACAAGCTAGTTAGCCTTTTCAGTTTTTTTGTGTTTGATAGAATAATTTTTTCGTTTTTCCCGTGATTCGAATCTCAGATAAATTACATTAACAACAGCGATTGTCTTTCTATGAATAATAAGAAATGTAATAAATAAATAATTAATAAAAACTAACTAAATATTACCTTCTGAATAATCTCGATAGGTGTTGTGTATATTAATTGTATTGACAAGCTAAAGCTAAGTCTTTTCAGTTGTTGAATCTTTATCCGGCCTCGCATTAATAACAGTGATTGCATAGTTGAGAGTACTCGATTTTAGGATCTAATAGAAATGAGATAAACTACTGCTAGAATAGTGTTTTGAGACTAATTTCCTTCGGATGACATTACGCCCCCGCTGCGTATGCAAATCTAATCCGTTTCAGGCGACAAAAAAACGCCTCCCGATTTCGCATTATTAATTCCAGCAATTATTCCTGCCGCGCCAAGATTTCCCCGGAGCGAGGCGAAGGGGGTCTAGAAAAATGCGATCGTTAAGCCCGTACAGTTTGCAACGTTTAATTAAAAAGTTCATGGATGCATCGCCTTAGCGATGGCGACGTAATAAAAAGAAGACTTCCCCCGAAAGAGGATTTTCGTATATTCGCGCAGTTACTTGTCACGGGCTTTTAGTGGTGCCGCGTGGCTGCGAGCGAGGTGTATTGTACGAGTCAGGATGTTTCCCAAAAATACAGACGATCTGTTACGATAAATTCGACGGTATTGAGAGACAGCTTTATTTGATTGAAGCCTAAAACTTATATAATTTAGCCAGCTATTTCAAGCTGTGAAAGCTCAATTGTCACTTCATATATATTTTTTGTTTTCTTGAACTGTTTTCGCAACGGAAGCTCTCAAAGATAAATTTTCCCCATTTTCCACTATTTCTTCGCTCTTATGGGGCAAAAAACTCGATTTAATTAAAGCCTCGATTATTAATCAAATTCAAAACTTTTTATTGTCAATATAAAACTTATAAAGAAATTGAGTAAATAAAAAATATATATAATTTATAAATTGAATTCCAGCTGTGGAAATTATTGAAGCGATACTAGTGATGACGACTAAAAACAACACGACAACTTGTAGTTAGTCCGTATTATGATTTTACAGTCTATTTAATTCACCCTTATGCCCCTTATAAATCAATAATAAAGGGAGAAAAGCAAAAAAATGGCAACAGCTATTCTCAGAATAAGAATTTTTATTGATTATCTAATGAGTAACGCCCTACTTGTCTTATATTATGTATACCTATCTTGGCTATATGTATAAGTGTAACATACTATGGCACATATAGTAAGGGTGAGGGTCACTCCCTTAGCACCATAGACTATGAGATCAATTTATACAAAAATATATATTTTGTAAGTTGTATAATAATTTTAGGTATAGAGGTAATACATAAGTCGTTTTAAATTTAATTTATTTACCTCCGTTTTCAGACAATGGCATTTAAAAAAATGCGATGCTTGTACATACGTAATATACTACTTAATAACGGCCATATACTTGCCTCTGCTAACACTGGAACCTCCTTTAGTGTATTACATTAGCCCTTATTTACACTGCTACTTGTTTTATTTGTGTACACATTAATAAACGTTTTGGTACACCACCGGTTATCAAACTCCTGGCCTTACAATTAAATATGCATACCACTATACCAACATGGTTATTTGCCAGAAAAATACTATCCTCTAATGTTTTATTAAACCTACACTAGGGTTACAGACGTTTTTTTACGCCAGTCGTGAACTCTAAAAGCTCGAATACGAGTTTTTCATCGCTTTATGAAGTAGTACACGCTATAATGGCTATGCTAATGGGCCCCGCTCAGTAGGACGTCAATAATGAGCGGCCGTCCTTATCACACGGAGCAGGTGCCCTTTGTGACGTCCTCCGATATTACTGTTCGTTGTGGAATAATTTATTTGCACTTTTTTATCCTTTATATGGACGAGGTTAAAGAATCGCTTTTATGGGCTCGTTGGTCTAATAGTAGCAATAAGGCTATGCCCGTCGCGTTTCGGATTTAGTTTGTGGATTTTCAAATTTACAAAGGCGAGAAAGGTCGACATCGCATCTTGTTTAGATGTTATATATGGCTTTGGTATTTCTACCTTCCGTCCTTTTCTATCCAGTGATCCACATGCTTTTCTGTATTAAAAATTAATTAAATAAAAAGAAGGTAAATATAATAATATATAATAATATTCATGTAGAATTAACAAAATTAATATATTTAAAATAAAACACTTTAACGGTTTACAACGCGATATATTAATATTAACTCGATCCTGCTGCAAAGCATCCGAAACGTTGGGCCGAAGTTAAAAATCATTTTCAAATAAGTTTAACTAATATATCGCGTTTTAAACCTTTAAAGTGTTTTATTTAAATGTGTACTACTCGCGTAAACTATAGACAGTACTTAATGACATATTGTGAAAAATAAACTTTACTAATTATTGTTATGTACTACTCTTTTTGTACTTACTGTATTAAAACCTCCGTAGTAGCAGTTGTAGTAGAACAGCGACGAGTCGAGAGCTTTCCTGGCTCTCGTCTCTCGATAACCTGTATTTACCTTTACCGCAGTGGGAATAAATTCGTGGCTTAAAGTTTAATTAAACTAGTTTGATCCCGTAAAAAGTAGATGTTATCGAAAGCTCGGCTCGCCGTCGTGTTGGTAACGAGTGAAATTATGGAAATGCGGCACGCTCGCTACTCGCTCAGCATTGCTACAATGAATTTAGCTTTTTGTGGGGGGGCTTATTCTAACGTTGCTTTCATTTTGTTCGATATATTTGCGTTAAAATAATGTTCTTTTTCGATATTAAAACGCTTTAAAATGTTACCTTTTATATAAATTTACCTGTTATTATTGTCTAATTAATATTGTTAGATTATTATTTCTTAACGTTGGTGTAACTAAAATTGTTTCTGCAAAAAAAATGCAGAGAATATATGAGGTCACGTACGCTAGATTATAATTTGTCCTTGGATATTAGAAAAACCGAAACGGGGATTCGGTGTTTAAGGTTATCAGAAAATGTTGTTAGTAACAACATTACTGTTAAATACTGTCTATAGTTTACGCGAGTAGTACACATTTAAATAAAACACTTTAACGGTTTAAAACGCGATATATTAGTTAAAATTATTCGTCGAAACGTCGGGCCGAAGTTAAAAATCATTTTTAAATAAGTTTAACTAATATATCGCGTTTTAAACCGTTAAAGTGTTTTATTTAAAGATTACTGTTGTTCGGTTCCTGGGTTTTTCGAGCTCTTCGAATAACCCCCTCAGACCCCCAAGCCTGTGCTAGTTTCTTAACAAGGATGATAAATGGTA